TGAGATTCCCATCCCACAAGTGCATTTCGTGCTTCTCTGGACAGCATTAGAGCAACTCCCTGAGTGTGTGGAGCATTTTCCCCTTCGTGACCGGAGTACAGCAGCATCTCTCCTGTACCTAGCCTTCGTTGTCCAGTTTGTGTCCAATGGGTTTCGCTGATTCGGAGTACTGCCAAGTTGTATCTTCTCATTTCCATTGCTATTTGGCTGGTCTTTCCTGTCTCCCACATTGTCCGGACGTTCCATGTACCTATAAAGAGTGTTGCTCTGGTTGTTAGAAGGTGCATAGGTCTCGTGACTTCCGAAGAATTTCGGCTTTCATCATGAGACGTCATAATTATTCCTTCAACTCCCAGGGCAGAGTTTAAATGGTTTGAATTATTATTTTTTCTGGTTAGCGTTTTTTTAGCGAGTTAGCTTTTCTACGGGATGGGGTCGCTAACCCCATGCCCAACGCTCCTCCTTTACCCGGGCTTGGGACCGGCAGTAACTCTAGAAGAGCTACAGGCGGAGTTTCCATGTTATCCATTCACGAATATTTTAACAAATCCTTCCCAACTAATCTCATACCGAAAATGTGGATAAGGATAAAGATAATCCCTATACCTAAGAAAGTATCTGGTGATAAAAGTGTGAAATTCAGACCCACAGCAATAGCTTCACCTTTCCTCAAAATAATGGAAAAATTACTGATACTCCCACTTCAACCTGCAATAAAAGAGCACCATTATTCGTATCAGTTTTCAAAAGAAGCATTTTAGATGCTGTTGCTGATCTGCATCGGTACATAGTGTTAGGCTTGGAAAAGAGTAAGAAGTATGTTCGATGCGCCTGTATGGACTATACTTCTGCTGTGGTTCTATCACAAGACACCTCTTACTTAAAAAGTTGATCAGCGTCAACACTGACGGCTGGATAACCAATTGGTTATGTTTAGAGGTAAGTGTTCAACGTCTCTGCTGTCTAATGAAGGTGTGCCACAAGAAGCTGTTCTTTCACTTCTCCTTTTCTCTTTTTACCTGCATGATCTGCCATCTTCCACAGAAAACACTTTTGTGAAATATGTGTAATACGTGTGTATGGACCACCTTAATGTTTGTATGCCGATTTCTACCAACTTACATCCCATAGAAATGAACGGGTTTTTGTTCCGTATTGAGTGGTGGTCTGTTGTTAATGGTCTTTTAATCCATCTAAATGTCAAGCTGTTAACTCTAGCCTGAGACATGAGCAGCACCTATACACTATTTTGGGATCCCATAATGCTTGTTCCATTGGAGACTCTTTGATAAACTCAGTGTCGAAGGTCAATTATCTTGGTGTTACTTTTTCCCCTTGTCTCTCTTGGTCTTCTCATGTTTCGCCGTTATCGAAAAAAGTTTACCGTTCGACTTGCTACATAAAGAGGCTGCATGCTTTTAGGATTACTCACCCTTTACTCAAACAATTTGTGAATCCCTGCTTATTACCTATTATTCTTTACTGTTCTCCATTATTCTTTCCCAGGCATTTGAGAAAAGACTTTGCTGTGCTGAGGGATTGCTGAAGACCGTTAGCAAGGTGTGTGGTGAATCTTTTGAGGACATAATAAATATCTTTGTGGATAAACATATAAAAATCTTGCAACTCCTGACAGGTGTTATCTTATCAAACACTAAATATCCACTTTATTCATACCTTTCTCCTTGTATATCTTCTAGTAGAACGATACGTAAATACATTGAAACCCATGCAAGCAAGCAAATCAATAATACTTCTGCTATATGCTCTGTGACGAACAGGTTGTTAGATTTGACCTAGTAAACAACCCGTATTTCTCAGCATGTCTCAAATTTGATAATTTGTACAAACCCAGATTCTTTAATCTTCTTTTTTCGCCTCGTTTTTGTTTTGGTAGAGTAAAAATTGGTTGAAATACCTCAAGCTGAGAATTCTATATTGTACCAAAATAAAATATTGAGTAAAGCCACTGATAATAATAGTACTCTCCGTCATTTCAACGGACACACAATAACTTTATTGATAAGAGCTTCATCTGAAATTGCAAAGAAATTTCAAAAGTGAACCTGCGCTCTGACTTCGTGTGTCGGTAGCTGCAGCACGTAAAAAAGACACTTGTGCTGGTCTGGATATGGTTGATTCTGCTGTGCTGAGGGAAACAGCTTCAATCTTGGAAACACCGATTAGCATGATGTATCCCGTTAGCTAAGCTAAGACAGGTTAACAGAATATTAAAAGCTGGCTGACATCACACCAATTTCCAAAGTAGGCCAACACAGTAGTCCTTCAAGCTACTGACCAGTAGCACTTCTCTCTATACCCTCAAAGAATCTGAAGTGCCTGACATGCGACGGTATACAGGAATATTTACTATCCGTAGACTCCTTTTTTGCCCAAATAGCACAGCTTCAAGAAAGGTCACTCTTGTATAACCATCCTGCTAACCGCGGTGAAAGGTTGAGATGATTTATCTTGACTTTTCGAAATGTTTAAAAATCTCCATGGAATATTCAAAAGTGAAGAATATTTTAGAGGATAACGGTTTCCAATAACTTCATCAGTCTCTATAGTTATATGTTCATAATTATGACATTTTGCAGAGGCAAAAATAAGGCATGTGATAATGAATTTGACGATGTTATATGTTGAAATTGGTATACGTTTGCATCTGCTTCAAAACTGTGTTATTTGCAAATCGGAAACGTCATTTGATAAAATAGTGATTTCGAGTGAAGTGTCCAGTTACAATTAGTAAAGTAGTATTATAACAAAAAGGAAAATGTAAGAAACTCGTGTGAGTAAAATGCATAGTACGAGAATTTCATCTTTCGACTGAGACAATAATGATGATGGTTACCGAAGATTGGCCCCTCCATGTGCATACACAATCGACATTTTAAGGTCAGGGTCAATTTCACTTTCTCCTAGGTCATGGAGTGTCCTGTTAGGGTATTCAAGGGTTCAGTACTGAGGTCTCTCCTTTTATTTATTTATATAAAGATCTTTCAGAGCAGGTGTCGCCGGATCTATTGCTTTTCCCTGATGATGTAGAGCTTTGGAGAGGAGCACGTAAGCAGAAGGATAACTTGGCATTTCAGGAGGATCTAACTTGACTTCAAAGTTAAACAGAATACAGCGGACCTACCTTCAACACTTCAAAGTGTAAAGTAGCCCATCCGAGACATGCTACAGACTAAAGCCACAACTTAGCCAACTCCCCTGTTTAAAGGTGAAGAAGAACTAGGAGTGCTGGTACCTCACGATTTGAAGTCTGATATTATTGTTATCAGCTTTATTCAATATTGTATTATTTGGTACAAAATCGAATTCTCAGCATAAAGTATTTCTACAAGTTTCCGTTTCTTTTTTCTCCGTTGCTCCTGATGATAAATATTCAGTGATCGCCATTTAGATGTCAGCAGTTCAGTCAATCAACATATGAATAATGTATATTCTTTTCGCTGCATGTTTCCAGCAAACACGATATCTCTGATTAGGCCTTTTGTAACCTTTACAGTGAAAGGTTGTACAGTTTTCAGAAACGCACCTGAATAGGTTGTGTGCTTAATAGCCATAATGATGTATTAAAACAAACAATATTAAAATAAACAATATTAGATAACTTGTTGAAATATATAGATGACAGGAACAGGTAGCTCAGATGTTTAATGAGGCCGCCTATTGAATCTATGTCCCACGTTAACTGCGACAAAAATGCTTTCCGAGCAAACCTTACACTGGTAACAGTGAAACACAATTTTGGCCAGTTCGACGGAAGAACTTTCCACATAATCTTCAACAGTTTCAGTCGTCCCCGTTTAGGGTACAGAAAAATAGAATTTCCCCCTCACCCCAAAAGGATAAGGACACTCTGGAATGTTATAATGGGAATTATATGCCAACTCTGGAATGTATCCAACAGTGAGCTAAAAAAATCAGTTCGGGTCTCAAATTCAAGCCTTATGAAGTGTGCTTCCAACCAATGAACTGCTATATCCTAGTGAAGACATAAGTACAGATAACTCCCGGGACTTAATAATGGACTATTGTCTTATATATATTCTTATTGTACAACTATTCAGTGATTAGATTTAATCTATATACATTCACCTTATTATAAGCTTTTTTTTTACCTATTGATTATTATTATACGATTTACTGTCCCTAAATTATATTCAGTTTATTGATTATTGTCCCCCACAATCACAGCCACATTTGACTTGATCATGTACAAGAATTATTTTCTATTTCCGGGTGTGTTGCGGTCTGTCTGTTTGGTATATAAACCGAGTTTGCTTGAAATAAATGATTCGCATAACAGAAGTTGTCATTGGTATTCTGGACTCAACTGGAAGGGTTGGGCGCACAAGGGACCAATAAGTACGCCAGACTGCTCACACCAGTTGAAAGCCATTGATTTGTTACAGTGTTAAGTTTAGAAAATTCATATTTCGATTAGTGGATAATTCACGGGATAAGCCGGACATAAGACAACAATTTAGCATAAGGCCTTCTTTTTTTAAAAATTCATAACCTGAACCTTAACTCACTAGAGTACAGGCATCTTAGAGGTGACTTTGTAATGGCTCACAACATCCTAAACACTTCTAGACATCCCCTTAAACACCTACTTCAGTTTAGTCCCAATACAAACCTTAGGGGTAATAGCCAGTAGCTGGAAACACAACACAGAAGAACGGACCGTAGATACACCTTCTACTCCTTGAGAGTACTAAAATGCTGGAATACGCTGCTAGTGGAGCTAGTCTAGTCGACTACCCAGCAGTCGTTTACGAGAAAATTTGACGTATTCTTAAGGACTAAGAATAGTATATTACTATGATTTAACGATTTTTTCTTTTCCTTTTACATTGACTATATACATAGGTTCCTGCCTGAAGGTATCGGTGATCCACTGCCACTAGATACGAAAGCCCGTCAAGCGAAAGATTCTTGCATTCCGTCCGAAACCATTTGAACCGTTTGACCTGTTTGACCTTGGGTTTTTTTAAACTTGACTTTGATGCCGATGGTCAGGTAACATGCGACAGCAAACTAAGCAATAAAAGGTAAATCCTTAAGGAAGATCAAATAAAAAAATCTGCGACAAGGAATGAACGTAAAAATTTCAAACCACCATCTTACCTCGAATTTCACTACATTGTAATTCTTAAATAGGTCATAAGTAATGTATCAGTTAGTTATAACTTGTTTCTTAAAATCGTAGTTAACTTAAGTTTTCTTACTAACAGTTTGATGACTGTTTTGTGACCGAGTATGAAACAATATTTCTTAGTACAACGCTGAACAGCTTGTGTGTGTGCAGCGTATCTATAGTGTACTTCCGTTTTTATTTCTATCATAAAAGACTTTAACGTCATTTATATTTCAAAGGAAATCTGTTGAAGCTCTTGTCAACAGATTTTAACGAACTTCGACACAATTGAGGGTAAGATGATATGTCAACTGAAGTTACTAAATTCTAAAGACTGAGGAAAAGATGGCAAGTCAAACTACCTTTCCAAATATTGCGGGGCCCAAAGAAACATAGGTTGTTTTCAGGTCTTAAACATCACCTAGCATACGTCAGAGTGTTCTTAACATAGCAATGATAGGGTTTTTGATAGTCACTATCACGGTTTTAGTCATATTTATAAATCACATGAGTGATATATTCTGTCATAAAGTAATTAAATTCTCAACGACACCTACGTATATTAAATATTTAACATTTGAGTAGAAACTGGAATATATGTTAAAACTGAGTAATTTGAATTCTATGGTGAATGACTTGACTCTGCTATAAAAGCCTTTCATCTCTCCACAGGGCGTTCTCACCACTTAAAAAAGTAATCCTACAGTATAAACGATGCCCCATTATAATAAACCTATCATAACCTGAAGTCTTGGCGTAATTCAGTATGTCTCTAAATTAAACATAACCAAGTGCTCCACATATTACAGCCACCAGTTTTACAGTCACATGTTTGATGGTTTAAGACCCAATGCCCCCCACCTTTTTTAACAAAAATAACACTTAGCTGAAGGCCATTGAACTCAGCAGATAATGCTCAAGAATGCACCGTTAATTTTAAACGGAGTGATGTGGCCTAACATAGACCATAATTGTTAGTTGAAACCCTTGTACAACGAGAGCCTATCTAAGCATATTTACAAATGTATGCAGCCGAAGCTGAAAAATAATAACTATAGTTTAACATTTTTTGGTAGACTGGTTTGTAATCTTATATGGTGGTAAATGTCTCTGCTAATGATCTTTAGTTTTATATATTCATAAGTTCTTAAACAAATTCTGACACTGGTAGTCAAATGTGAAAAATTCCGTCATAATGGCTTCAAGATGGAAACAGCTTTCTTGTTTGTGATATTTGACCCTCCATACTTTCCATCGTAAGTACATTCACCTCCTTCCTCACAGTTGAAGATTTTAGTGGAACTAATCTAAAATTCGTCAATTCTAAATCTAATAGTCTTGTCTGTCTATCATTGCAGTCCAGCAGACTTGAGATGGTGTGACTACAGGATGCAACTGTGTGACAATTAACCTTGGTCAAACACAGATACAACCTCATCATTTAGGAGTTTTAGAGCAGAAAATATAGCTTTTACTTAAGATAAACGAGCATATAACCTAATTCCTTTGTGGTTATTCTAGTCGTAGACTATTAGATGACATTTCTTGGTGATCTTTGGTTGCCAGACCCTAACTGGACTCTAATAATAACTCGTAGATATCCCTTAAAATCAAAGTGGGGGGGATAACACGTTCGATCGTTTACGCTTACGAAAAAGATATTGTATACTAGAAGTTAGAACTGATACGGTTCTGTTTTTTAAATACACCATGATTGCGTTATGAATAATTCCTTGTCTTGAGTGGAAAGAATGGAACGCTATATGGCTTATTATGATCATTATATGACGATTCAAACTCTCTTCAGGCGCATCAAAATGTCCTGAAACTCCGTGTGCCATTTGAGGGTTTCAGTAGTTGCTAAAGGCAAACCTGAGTGTGAACAGTCAGGTTATGCTTTTTCAAATTTTCTAATGGTTTTATCTCTAATGATCAGTTCAAAACAATTGTTTCATGGCGAAACTTGATCCTTACTGAAAAAATCCTAGGTCCTGCTATCGTTGTTGCTGGAGATTATTAATAGACTGCTGCGTCCATAAACACCCATTTTTAGTCTCCTTTAAACTTGCTCTTTTTATGCTATGTGGTAAACATATGTCTTCGAAAATTTCTTTTTACTATTTAAACATATTGCCACTTTTCAGGGGTCGGTAGAGATATTACCATCAGGTATCCAGAGGAAAAACTAATTCAGATGGCTTAATTGTCCAATAATCAGTTTTTTCGTCAGCTTTAGGTGCTTTTGTACAACACTTATGTTGAACATTTATTTATTTATTTAAACATAAATATTGGTACAAGGGGGCATCAGATACATATGCGCGACAGTCAGTCAGTCAGTCACAACGTAGAACTTCGTACGTACGTACATCGGTTCGAGTTGCCATACCACATTAGCACAGAGATGCAGTTGTCGATTCAAATCCCATAGTGGTAGAAGTAGTAGGAGTATAATCAGAAATCCAAAAGATTAGGGTTTGAAGAAATTATTGAAGGAGTATAGTACAGTGAAATAAATTTTGAAAGAGAAAAAGATAAAGACATGAGGAATTCAGAAGATTAAAATTCGGTAGAACACAAAGAGTGGATGCACCTTCGCCATTGCAAACGATTTTGAGCCATGTCATTCAAGGTCTCTAACCATCGGTTGCTATCATCTCGCGAATCCCAACCAGGTAGTCTACACCTACCAACATGACCCAGTCCACTTGTCAGTGACTTCATGGATTTGTGCCATGTTTTGGTCTGACCGCCCCTAGCTATCTTCCAACCTACTCCTACACCATGAAACATTGGACGTCGGGGCAGTCGGTGGTCGGGCATACATAACACATGTCCCAACCATCTCAACTGATGAAGTTTCACTACTTCATCAATCGATTTGCCATCCCTACCTAGTACTCGTTTCCTAACAACTGCATTACTTACCCGGTGGTCCCAGGATATACGAACAATGCGTCGAAGACACCTATGATCGAACACTAGTAGCCTACGAATATCCTCTACTCTTATTGGCCATGTTCCACTGCCATAAAGTAGGACGGAGCGAACTGCTGCACAGTAAACCCGTCCTTTGGTTGCTAGACGGATATCTCGCCTACGCCATAAATGACGCAAGTTGGCGAAAGCTAGACGAACCTTCTGTATCCGTGCTGAGATTTCGTCACATACCAGACCACAAGGGCTGATGAGACTCCCAAGATAAGTGAAGTGGTCTACACGCTCAACTACTTCACACCTTATCATTAGTTCAGGTGTCGATGCAACCCAATCCTGAAGTAACATTTTGCACTTCGAGGGAGAGAATCGCATCCCGAACATGCGTGTATAGTTGCTTATAGTGGTCAGAAGACTGCATGTTGTCAGCGACTTCACCGAATAAAACTATGTCGTCGGCGTATTCTAAGTCAACAAGTGAGCCTCCCGGTAAAAGTTCAACTCCAGGAGATTGAGATGATGAAAGTGTTATCTCTAAAAGCATGTCAACGACAAAGTTAAACAAGAATGGGGAGAGTGGACAGCCCTGACGAACGCCACTTGAGGTAATCAGTTCCGATGACAGTTCGCCACAGGCTCTTACTCGACCAGTTGTGTTCGAGTAGAGAGCCTTCATGAGGTTAATGTACTTCTTTGGTACTCCTTTCAGTGACAAACACTGCCATAGAACCTCACGATCAACGGAGTCAAATGCCGTCTTAAGGTCAAGAAATACTACTATTGTGGGACGTCTGAATGTATGTCTATGTTTTAGGACCTGACGTAGGGTGAATATCTGGTCTATGCAACCACGTCCAGGTCGAAAACCAGCCTGGTTTATTCTAGTCTGCTCTTCACGAGCTTTGGTTAGGCGACCTAGCATTATTGAAGCTAATATTTTAGACACTATATTAGTCAAACTGATTCCTCTGTGATTGTCACAGGAGGACCTTTGTTCTTTCTTATAGACTGGCACAATCAGTGATTGGGACCAGTCAGATGGAATTACGTCCAGTTCCCAGATTCTACCTAAGACCTCAGTCAATCTCACTGCCAGTATGGAACCGTCATTCTTAAAAATCTCAGGGGTCAACCTGTCAGGGCCTGCTGCTCTCCCTCGCTTCAGATTTCCTATATCTTTTTCAACCTCGCAGAGGGTTGGAGGACTTACATCAATTTGCCATTCAGGACGACTGGGGATCGTGGGTAATTGAAGTGTGGCTGAAGGCCAGTTGAACTGATCCCTAAAGTATTCTGCGCGACGCAATAACAATGAGAATGTGGAGAGATAAAGAATGTAAGGTGCACATAAGAAAAAGGGGAACAATAACGAACAGAAATTAGTGTATGATAGTGAAATAATAATTATGGAAGAAACAGTTTAGTTAGCAAAATTACAACCAGAAACAATTCTTCTGGTTAAAAACGTTACTCTCACTTTTATGAAGAAAGTTACAGCAGGATCGTCACTGGCTTCTATTCTGAAACATATCTGACAACGTCTCTAGCCACCGTGTTGCACCATCTCTAGGACTCCAACCAGGGAGTCGTGAAAGGCCAACAGAAGCCTGTCCTGTACAGCTTTCTCACACCGGTTACTTCGCACTTTAACGGAACTTTCTAATCTAATAACACATAACCGTCTGTTAATGGAGATCCAGTCGATCAGTGCTGCCCAAGCTCTAGCGCTTAGTGCAACACCAGCAAGACCAGACAAAGAAGCTACAGGGTTCCCTGATAAACGCACATGAAACTGGCGCAGGACATTCGCTTTTCGTTCTCTGAATTTCGTAAACAACACGCCCGCTGCAAGAAAGCAGTGATTAGGATGTCCATGACAGTTGTTGTGTTATATCTTGTGGCCGAGTGGATGCCTAGTTAATGTGTGACTTGATGAGACCGCCAATCAGGAAGCAGCGAATTATCGATTGGAACGGCGACACGAAACTCGTACGAGCAGACTAGAGTGCTAACCGGTCCTGCGATCTACCTAGCCCAGCCAGTTAGGTCCAAAAACACCAATAACAGCCTCTGTGGTATGAATCATTATTCACAAACATACTGGGTTTATATACCAACCAAACAGACCACATCGTACCATAAAATAGAAAATAACATTTGTACAATATTTGGCCAAATGTGGCTGTGAATAGTAATCAGTAAAGTGATGATAACTCAAGAATCGTATAATGATAGTTCAATGTCAAAATAAAGCTAATGATAAGAGGAACACGAATATGATTAGGTTAGTTACTTAACAATTATACAATAGGAAATATACATATTACATTGGTCCACAAATAGTCCTCAAAAGTTACCATTCACAATTCTCTTCGGGATACAATAAGTTGTATGCACGTGGCCATGTGAGGACATTTCGAGAGGGAGAACTGACTTTCCCCACTCTCGGTCGTACCATAGCATTTGGGGCATGCACTCTTTAAGTTTAGTAAACACAAAAGTATAGAGAATTCGGTCCTGCTATATATTTGAAGTGATTAGATTATAAATATGATTGTGTTAACTTCTTCGATGAGAGGCTATAGAAAACTGAGTGACAATCAATCATGTATGTTTGTGTTCTGTCCAGACCTTTATGTTTGGTTGCGCCTGCAACCTCAAATCACCAACAGTTACATGTGTTATAAATAAAACTCAACATATATTTTGTCGATGCAATCCCACTCACCACTTTCAAATGGCCTTAGATGAAATTTTTGTTAGAGAATGTGCTAGAATGTGTGTCCAACTAAAAGCAAAAGTCATTTGGGATGTGCTGCAGTAGCGTCCTGCTACTTCATTTATATCTTCCAGCTTGAGATACCTGTGTAATCTATGTTTATCCTCAGATACCGTAGCACGGCTCATTTGGATCAGTGTTGTATTGAGTACTTGGACTGATCCTTCATTACTAAACTGAAACTTATTAACAGCCATTTTTGTGTATAGAAGGAAAAACTGTCTGCTTAGGATTTGTTAACCAGACATGACTCCTGAGGTAAAGTACTAGGTATCACCGGCTGAGTCGCTATCATATATGCTTCAGCGTAACCGCCCTAATGAAATTTTTTTGATAAAATATTGAAAATAAAAAGGATCCATTTTGGTTACAGCATTATTTTGACTGTATTTTATGATAATTCTTTAATTAACATAAGAAACTTATCGTATTTTTAAATGAAGAATAAAGGTAAGAATGAAGTTTTTCTTCTTGACGATATCACTTACTGAAGCTGTTCAGCCATATCCATGATGATTTAATAAATATGAGTCGATAAAAAACCCTTTATGACTCAACCTATTTCTACTCCTACATAGACATATATAGGATTTCGCTTCTTGCTTTTTTGTGATATGGTCTTATGTTTCTTCACAACGTTGTTACCTCGTTTTTATGTGGTGTTTCTAGATGCCCTGTTTCAAGAAGCACTTTTTATGTTATAATTAAAAAAAATAACACCACAGTTATTTTAGTGTTTAATCAATAACACTGTGTAGACATTAAAAACGTCTTATTTTATCTTTCAGGTTTACTTAGCTGCCAAAAGGCTGCTAATCGATATCTTATATTCGTCGCAGACTTTTCAAAAGCCATCTCTTCTCGGAGGAATCTCTCCTAAAATATCGTTCAATGAAAATAAACAGTAAGTACTCTAACTTCATATAGTCAGCTTTCTTTTTCATTATATGCGGTATCGAACTATATAGTGGTGTGCAGATTAAAGCATTTGTGTTTTGGCTTACTTGGATTGTGTATTACACATAGTAAACCAAGTCTTTCATAGTAAGACAGAGAGGCTTATGACAATCTGGGCCTTCTTTGGCGTCTTTGTGACGTTATTCTGGTCGTAAAAGGTCGGATCTACAATGAGTCAGTGGGAGCAGTTTTGCTCTATGCATGTGAAACCTGGCCTCTTCAAGTATAGGATGTCAGAAGACTGTGTTTAACCACTGTTGTCTCCGAATGATTGCTGACTTTCAGTGACAACTCTGTATTAACGCAAATGTACGGCATCGTGTGTTCGGGTACAGCGATGATAATTCAATTGGTGTCACTATCTTGAAACACCGACTTTGGTGACTTGGACATGTTCTACAAATGTCTCCCAGAGAATTCCACGTGTATTAATTGCCGACGCTGGGACCAGTTGGAAACATTGAGGAGATGGTCAGTGTATGGCGTGGTGTCCTGGTATGAAAAAAAGCTATACAGGACAGGCTTCTGTTTGTCTTTCATGACTTCCTGGTTGGAGTCCTAGAGATGGTGCAACACGGTGGCTAGAGACGTTGTCAGATATGTTTCAGAATAGAAGCCAGTGATGATCCTGCTGTAACTTTCTTCATAAAAGTGAGAGTAACGTTTTTAACCAGAAGAATTGTTTCTGGTTGTAATTTTGCTAACTAAACTGCTTCTCTTATTAATATTATTATTATTATTATCATGTCATTCGCGTGCACTAATTTCTATTCATTGTTGTCCTTTTTTATTATATTCACTTTCCTTTCTGTATCTCTTCATAACCTCATTTTTATTATGGTGCTTATATATTGGGTGCCCCCTTTATATCAATGTTTGTGTCTGAATAAATAAATAAATAAATCATAATGGACGGTATCAGAGCTGATGGTAATATGGAAAAAGACTGAAAGATGGCGCTAATTTATGATATCCTTTTTTTCTGAACCATTTAGAAGAGATGAACTTATCAAAGGGAATCTTTGATGTCGAGTTTTTATACTGTTTCGTCAATATTTGTAAAGATAAAATAATAATTTAGTCAATTGGAAGGGCTCAATATTTCATTAAAAGTTTTGTCCGTAGACTAGTCTCCTTTGTAATCATCATCTCCACAAAAGTATTTGTGGACTGTTATCCTCCTTTCCATTTTCAACGTTCAGCTGATTAAAAGTTAGTGATGACATAAAAATTATACTAAAAATAAATACACGGGAGCCATAATTCAATCCTTAATTCGTCATTTGAGAGTTTTTCTTAGTTTAACTTTACATTTCCGTGACTTTACTTTCTTATAGACCTTCCTAATTTCAATGTTTTCTGTAATACACACCTTTATCTCTGTATACAGAAAACCAAAGAGATTAAAAATAATGGTCTGTAGAATACTATACTCTTTTCTGTAATATGTGATTTTGTAGTTATCTTTTCGATTTGGTAATCATTTACGTCACGGAATGATAACTAAGAAAGTGATTGGAGACTATAAGTCACTGGACAATTGTCCTGATATCGTCTAGACTCGTTTGTGTTTGCTTGTGAAATAAACCCCAATACTTTTCGGTCTTACTGTGAGTATGACATTATTTAACCATTCACTTAAAATCGTATAGTTGACAGCTCTAACTTCAGTCAGTATGGCAAGTATTTCAACGGCCAGTCAGATCTATTGATGTGTTTTATTTATCTTTCCGTACAAATATACACCAAAATAAATATGCGCCACGCATATAAGTGAATAAAATTAGGAGGTAACATACAAAAAACAGTGAATGTAATTAAGAAAATGCTTCAGCCAATAAGGAACGAGAAAAAACACTATGGAGGAAACCCGAAAGAATTCTTGCAATCAAACAAGTCCCTCCTTATTTTATAAGGAAAGTAAACGAAAGTTACGGCGGGATTTCCACTGGTTTCTATCCTGCTCTATGTCTGATGACATTACAATTCACTGAGTGGCTCTCTCCCGGACCCCCACCAGGGAGTCTTTATGGACCGATAAATAGGAGTCTTATATACCCTCATTTCATATCCCTATACTGCGTCATAAACTGACCACCTCCCATTTCACCGACCATTCCCAGCGTCAGCAATGAATGAACTATGTGTCAGTTGCTGCGACACTAACGATAGCCAAATCATATGAAGGTGCAACAAGGTCCCCCGACAAGCGCTCATAAAACAAGATTTTCAAACCGATAGATGGAGAACGAGTTCTCAGTACTTCACTATAGTCTCGGATATACAGCTAACATCTATGTTAACATTTTTCAAAGAAATAAATGATCCTATCCGTTTCCTATATGCATTAGTGTTCGAGAGTTGAGGAAGACCAATTTGAATGACACATGTAGTTTCAGAAAAGCTGATTGGGAGTCCATATTCAGTGGGAACATTCAAACTTTCGACCAATCAGTGACGTGAGTTCGTTTGGACAGAAGATTCCTACCGTAAATGAAGCTTATTAGTTTAAAAGTAATCAGAATGAAAACAAAGTATAATAGAAACGTGGTCCGGAATAAGATAAAAATACGTGAATGAAATGGGTAGTAATTATCTTTTGAGTTAGTAATCAAGCAGAGTAAATAGACCAATTACTTCATAACCATTCACTGTCACTGGTGGGTATCTGTTTCACTTATAACTTTTTCTGATTCAATATTTTATGTCCTTATTATAATTTCAGGACAACACCTCGAAGCAAGTTATTCAGCCTGACTGTAATCCTTATTGTAAATTGTCTTTAAATATACTACTGTTTTTGTATACAATGGAAAATAAAGGCCTTGTCCAATTCTCTGTATATCATAAATAAGACATTTTGTGCTGTCAGAAACAGCATTTAACTAGTTGTAGAGTAAGGAGTTACTCTAATACATTGTCGATCGAAGTTAGCACAGATATCCTCTTCGTTTTATTCATAAAATGAATACTTCTCAATTGACGGTAGTAAGAAGTTTCATTCTATGCGGCTGCGTTTGTTTATATCGATCAGTACACTCATAGCCAAGTGAGTGGTCCAAAATATCAAATACTAAGGTGGTGATGTAGTTGTTGGAGACAATAATCAGCGTAAAATATAGCGGCCAAAAACAAAAAGCATGCTTAAAGCGATTAGTTAAGTACTTTAAAGTTCATGTTCATAAAGTAGAACAAAAGCTGAAGATCGAATCTTTAAATGTTATCTGTAAAATATAATAAAATCCTACTTAATTAGATGTCCAAGTATGAAAAATATTTTGAATTTCAGTAGGAATGGCAATTCAACTTTTCCTTATATAGCAAAATAGGCCTTCAAAATTAAAACATTGTGTTTACAAAATATTGGGAAGCACTAACCATTCAATGAAGCTTGCCCAAAAAATTGTCTAATCGGATATATATATATATATATATATATATATATATATATATATAAGGTACATTTTATGCATTTACTTTTTCATATAGAAAACCTGAAGTTGACAGTTGGACCTGTGTTAAAAATACTTTAAAAAGCTTATACTCAATTGGGTTTCCCCGTGAAAGATAATCATCGAAACAATGCCTGTCCCTTATCCTCAACATCCGATCCCTATTGAAGCGCTCTCTGAATATGATATTCGTGAAATACTCTTGGATGGTCATGAAATTCTTGAAAAGTATGTTTAGTGTATCCATTAATTGAAAATAATCAGACCACTAACTCCAGCTGCAAACTTTCAGAGGATTATTAATCACACCGACTTTTCTGAGAGCAGCAGTTATGGTGATAATTGTTCTCAGAATAAAGAGTCCGAATCTTTTCTAAAGAACTTCACACCAAAAATATGGGAGAATGTTAAAGAGACCCTACGGTATGTCGTATCAAGTATATCTCATTGTTTTTAGTACTACATTGATTGAGATCAACGCTTTGGTTGACGTTCTTTCTATCATCAAAGAAGGAAAATATCTGGCCATTAATCCTGTTGCTAATGATTCGCAAGAAACTAACCTTTCTCTTTACCTATCTGGGAAAAAACGAGTTAGTTTAATCAAATTCTTCCCTTATTTTGAAACGAATAGTCTATCGCTGCAGCCGCTGATATCTTAATGAAAGGTGCTGAGCGTCTCCGTCGTAGACATAGTGAATTGATTGATGCCAGAGTTCGACGATCGAATTCATCAGTTCCCCCTCAATTTGATAATACTCATAACTCCTTCCATAAAGCACTAATGCATCTACGCCAAGAATGGAGACTAAAGTTGCATCAAAATTCTATTTTAGGTGATGTTAGTCTGCGGTCAATTGGTTCTCACTTCAGGGAGTCTGGTAATTTCGAGGTCCGGGAATCAGATGGTTTTTTTGATGGTAAATCAGATGTGGAGTCACAAGACGACAAGTGTGTTGATGCAGTAACTGGAGTTATGGTAAGGGATGATTTATCATTTGTCTGTAATTAACATTTTCTGCGCTGTAAATGACGTTAAATATATGAATCATTTTTAATATTGTAGATTTAATGAATAATGAAATATGAAAACGTTTGTAATTGAAACGAAATCGAAATAGTAATCAATTTCGATCTAATAACTTCTGAATTATTTTTATGGATTTTTACAATCTACAAATCTCCATTCTAATTTAGCTTATTGGACCTTATTATGTTCAGCTATCAATTGATTGAGAGGCTTGCAAGTGATCGTACTTCACCCACACTATTTATGCAACTGTGTAAGTAAGATGGGTCGAATTTCAACATAATTCCGTATTAGGTATAATACGTGTTAGGCCAAGTAGGACGATGTTCAGAAATTCAATAACGAACATATCCGGTTGTGCGACCTACGTTACTAGCCGCAGAAGCGCAGTTTGATTGGTAAACCAACATAGGTAAAACGAATCCAGGAAACTTCTTTTGGTAAAAGATAATTAAGGTTGATACAGGGAATTAAGAGGACACAAACATAGCCTTCCATAAAACTGGGTTTTTTTAATAACTATTCTAGTGAAATGATGACAAAATAGATCAGAAAAGCTCTAAAAAGGTTTTGTGCGGCCAAGAGATGAACCCTTTTCTACAACTGTCTCATCACACCTGGAAATGAAAGTAGAATCTCCCAATTCGCTTTTCCGATATGTATATACCGATCTAACTGTTCTTGTGTAAGCCAGTTATATCCAACCGAAATTTAGGCGAATCCATCATCAGATTCCCGGATATGCTGCGTAGCTTAGCAAAGGACAATTAAGATTGATTTAGAACTTTAATAACTGATAAAGGAAATCAAGTAAAAATAAACAACGCCTTCCAAATTATCCATCGTATTCCAGATGGATTAACTCCGGAGGTGTTTAAGGATGGTATTCCAGTTTTAGCGATTACATTGACTAATATTTTATCTAAAATCTGGGAGCTGGACGTAATCTCATCTGGCTAGTCTCAATCACTGATTGTTCCAATATATAAGAAGGGGTCAAAATCATCCTGTGATAACTATAGAGGGATTAGTTTGACTAACATATCATCTAAAATACTAGCCTCAATAATTATCGGACGCCTAACTAAGACTCGTGATCTGAAAACACGAGGAAATCAGTCTGGCTTCAGACCTGGTCGTGGCTGCATCGACCACATATTCACCATTTGTCAGGTTTTTGGAACACAGGCATGTTTATTGGCGTCCAATAATGATAGTGTTTCTTGACTTAAAAGCAGCATTTGAGTCTGTAGACCGAGTGGTTCTGTTGCAGTGTCTGTCATTGAAAAGTGTACCTCAGAAGTATATAAACCTCTTTACTCGAACACTACCAGTCGAGTGAGAGCTTATGGCGAACTGTCATCTGATTTTACAACCTCAAGTGGTGTCTGACAAGGCTGTCCAGTATCTGATTTTTGTTCAGTTTCATCATAGATCTACTGCTTGAAATAACGCTGTCGTCGACTGAATTTTCGGGCATTGATCTTCTACCAGGAGGTCCACTTATAGTCTTGGAATACTCAGATGACATAGTCCTGTTTGGTGAAGATGCTAACAAAATGCAGAGTCCTCTGTTAAAACTAAGTAACAATCCAAGGATATTTGGGATGCGTTTCTCCCCATCCAAATGTAAATTGTTGCTCCAGGACTGGCTTGCGTCAACACCTGATCTAAGGATAGAGAGTGAAGTAGTCTAACACGTTGACAACTTCACTTATTTTGGAAGTCTGACCAGCTCTAATGGGTTGGTGTCTGACGAAATCTCAACACGGATTTAGAAACCTCGTCTGGCTTTTGTCAAGTTATGTCACCTTTGGCGAAGATGAGATATCTGTCTATCAATTAAAGGTGGAGTATACTGTGCGACAGTTCATTCCGTTTTACTTTACTGCTGCGAAACATGGCCATGAAAAGTAGAAGATTATTTATTTATTTATTTAAGCTCATAAATATTGGTACAAGGAAGCACCAGATATATATGCGCCACACAAATCTCATTTGATTTGTGTGAGGGCTGTGATACTGTCCAGGTGCTCAGACTGAAGCAGGTGGTTTTCTTAGGGAGCCACACCTGGAGTCTTTGACCTGAAGGTCTAGTCCACAAGGCAGTGGAGCATCGTGATGAGATACAGTCCCATGGTAGCCGATGACCAACGATTGATTCATACGCTATTTCTTCCCTCAGGAAACTGGAGTCCATGTGCACGATTGGTTTGGAATCAGGGTTTTCCAACTCCCCTAGGTAGACTCTCCGTGTCCATCAACCCGGTTAAAGCACCGGACATTCACTTTTCGTCCTCTCAATTTCGTAAACAACAGTAATGGCACGAGCAGGCAGTGAGTAGGACTTCCCTGGCAGAGGCTATATACGCGTGACCATGTGAGAGCATTTGGATAGGGAGAGCGGACTCTCCACACTCTCGGCCGTACCAGGGCATTTGGGGGCTAGTAGGAGATACTCGCAAGTTATTAGTATTTGACCACAGATGCCTTAGAATTGTTGCTCGCATCTGCTGGGATCACCAGGTAAGTAATAGTGAGGTTAGACACGGGGTATTAGAGAGTGATAGTAAATAAGTTGATGAGGTCATTAACCTTCGTCGACTTGGTTAGGTCACGTATTACGCATGGCGAACTACCACGATGGCCAATTGTGACTAGTGTTTTTCTTAGACGGAAGAAAGAAAGTTAGGGGCGGCCAAACCAGAACGTGGCATCAGTCCATAAAGTCACTAACTTCTGGTGTGAGCCATGTTGGTAGATGCAGACTACTTGGTTTAGGTTCACACGACTGTTTTAACTAGTGGTTGGAGACTCTGGGTGACATTGCTCAGAATGGATCACAATGGTGTAGGTTTATACACTGTCTTCCCTTAAATCGTGCGATTAAAATTGCTTTGTACCTTTCTTTCTACGAACTATTTCTTTCATCCTGTATCATGTCCTTATAAACATTTTTTACAAATTTGAATTGAAGTTACTGCTCATGAGAATTTAGTGTTTACTTTGTTGTGCTAATAGGACTCAGTGGCCGAGTGGATAACGCGATGGCGTTTGAAGCGAGGGTACTGGGTTCGAGTCACAGAGTGAACGTCAACTCAGAAAATCTGAAAAAAAATTGTTGTGCTAATGATATGTTTCAACTTGGACCGATGTATATATATGCTTGATCCGATGTTGTTGATGACCGGCTTATCGCTTTCCAGTAAATTTGCGACATCTTTTATTCGTTTATCTCTTGCAGCTAAAGACATCCATCTAAACAAATCCGTTTTCTTCATTTATAAGAAATTTGTACAACCTTTTTCTTAGCCATCAACACTTCTAATACTAGAGCTTGTTACTGATGACTTATTACTTCCCGTTTGTTTTTCTAAAAGTTCGTAATTTTTGTTTGGGACCTGTACTCCTGCATAGCCGTAAGATTTCTCTCTCCACTCTTACCTGACTATTGTTAGTATTAGAATTTTATCAAAATGTTTGTTGACTCTCTAATCAGATACCATTTAATAATTCTATTCTATGACTAAATATTTCAGTTCATCCATTTAATCAATGATTATCTTTGCATAGCGATTATTTTATCCATTTTTTAATTTTTCAATTACTTTATTAATAGATTGATGAAGTAGTGAAACTTCATCAGTTGAGATGGTTGGGACACGTGTTACGTATGCCAAACCACCGACTGCCCCGACGTGTAATGTTTTATGGTGTAGGAGTAGGTCGGAAGAAAGCTAGGGACGGCCAGACCAAAACATGATATAAATCCATGAAGTCACTGACAAGTGGACTGAGCCATGTTGGTAGGTCTAGACCACCTGGTTGGGATCCACGAAATGATAGCAACCGATGGTTAGAGACCTTGAATGACATGGCTCAAAATCGTTTGCAATGGCGAAGGTGCATCCACTCTTTCTGTTCTGCCAAATTCTAATCTTCTGAATTCTTCATGTCTTTATCTTTTTCTCTTTCCAAATTTATTTCACCGTATTATACTCCTTCAATAACACCTTCAAACCCTTATCTTTAACATAATACTTATACTCTTACTGCTTCTACCACTATGGGATTTGAATCGACAACTGCATCTCTGTACTGATGTGGTATGGCAACTCGAACTGATGTACGTACGTACGAATTTCTACGTTGTAACTGACTGACTGACTGACCAACACAACACCACTATATTGTTATTAATTTTATCATTATTAAACATGTATATTAGATTGCAATCAAAATGAAAAACTAATGGAATAGAAATAACAGTAATTAACTGTAAAACTTCGATGTAGATTCAGTATTTCTTCTTTCGGTATTACTGTCAATTATTTTTACTGCTAATTTTTGATACTGATATTTAATTCAACAATAAACAATAATACTCGTTTATTCATTTCATCATTTTGTGATCTACTTTTAATAGATAATTTTTTCTCAGTCTATGGAAGCTCTTTTAAATTCATCTCATGGACCTGGCTTGTTGAATGTTGAATTCATTGAATCGGATATTAATTCACTACCTACACCTTTGTTAGAGTTCATATTTCATAAACAACAAATATCCTCATGTTCTAGAGATCCGTTACCCATTAACCAGAGACAAAAACTTTTCAAAGCTCAGAGATTATTAGCATGTCGAGAGATTTTATCTATGCTTAGTTGTGAGGCAAGTACTTCAAAGGAATATAATCATCTAACTGGTTCTGTCGCTTTTGCCACTCAGGTTAGTCTTCTAACACCTTTATTTCTCTTGTTATTGATAGTAAGTTAAAATAGTTTTAGAAAAAATTTATCGGATATAAAGCAATTTTTGGTTACGAATCATAATATTTATGGAAGCTGGTCGATATTATTTTAGTTCGAGTACCGTATCCTTTCACTTCCCATTTACAGGATAAATGAACGCTAAAACACAACCACTCTTAGCTTCATTTATGTCCTACACTATTATGTGATGCTTTCTCTGTAAATCCATCCAAGTAGCCTAGTTCGCTTTTATTTCATACTATAACACTGCTTACCGTTTAATCTTATTATCAACCAAGAATACACTATCCACGTACTCAATATTCGCCATTATTTCTCGAGTCTTTACGTACAGAACCTTCAGTTCCTCTGCATATCCACTCTGGTTTAGACACTTTCTTTTTACAGTCATTACAAAGAATTAAATGCAAAAAGTGCTTTCATTAAACGTTTAGTCTTGAACACGATACCTATGATAGTGTGGACGAATCTATAGGCCGTAGACGTAGACAACATATTTTAAATATAAATGAGACATAATCTTTCATACGTTAATATTTTTTCCTACGTGTTTTACAGTATGTGTGATACTTAGTCTATACATTACATTGTGTTAGTAAAAGATTTATGCCTATAACTTCTTAATATACCCAACGTGAATCCTTTACGATAGACAAAAGTAGTTTTTGATAATGTCATATGTTTAATGTCTGCGACTTTTTTGTTCACATTGAAACCGCAGTCGTGTTTCTTTACATTCAGACATAATATAAAACGTAGGAGGTAGGAAATTTGATTTGTTTCCAAATTTAAATAGACAATGACTCTTGGTACCACGAGTCAAATAGATAAATAGATGCAGCTCTACTGCGTAGCACAATTTAATGTGCTAAGTTGTTATGGGTTGTGCAAACCGAAATAAGAGATATTTCGGAACCCGTAATTCAATGTTTAAATGCTGATGTTAGCAGACCACAATTCTGTCGCGAAATTTTATAAGCCTGTAACCCAGTATATCTCAAATTCTAATAGGATATCAGCCGTAAGTAAAGCTAAATCTGTAGAAAACTGAAAATAATTACAGCTATCTTCCAAAACGTGTCATCTCTATATTATGAGATTAAAAGTAAATAACTAGGATAAAATTGTTTATAAATGAATCCTAATTGCTATTTTATGCTTACTTCTATAGGATAAGATCATAGCCACATTATTCCCGGGAGTACAAATATGTCTGTCGTCCGTTGTTAGACCTACAGTTTTTGGTGAAGATGTATTGGGTGACGAAAGACCAAAATTGCAAGATAAAAAATTACCAGATCATACGGTATTTACTATGGACTATTCAAATTGCATAAACTTGCAACTTCATCGTATGTTAACAGGTCAGCATCGTGCAGTGTGGCCGAATCTCGCCAGTTTGCCACAGCCTGCATGTGGCCCTGTAGAGATTCCTTTATACTATCGTTCAGGTGGTGCGAACGGATTACCCGCTTCAAGATTTTCATCACTATCACATAGCACGAAGTTCTCTGGATTTTCTGTCGCTGTTGCTAGTGTTTCCGGTTTTGCTTCCCAAGCTGCTTCTGCTTTATGTGTTATTCACGCCACCAACCGGATTAACGCAAATAGTGTTGAGAAAACAACTACCTTTAGCCAGCGTTCTCAACCCATCTTCGCTGGTCAAGATCGATTGTCGCTCTTCACAGAATGGGGACACTCACTCCCAGCTGGAACCTGTGTTCCACCAGTTGGGTTTCGTCACGGGGTTCCAAACTCTGCTGATGATTCGGTCCCCGGCACAAGCGACATCGCTATGCTGGAATATAACCTGTTATCTCGAGGAGTTGATGAAGACACAATGAAAACTGTTCTTGGTACGAATCCGTCGTTACTTAGCCGAACCATTGCCATATCTCGTCACCACTATCTTCGAGATCAGTAAGTTGATGTATATTTTGACTTGTTTCACTGCATTATTTTGCAACAGTAGTTCTATTCTTTTAGTTCTGAAGGAATGGACACCTTGTATGAAATGTGAAAGGAAATCTTTCAAGTCTACTAAGTTCACTTGAATAGTATGGTCTAAGTCAAAAGACAATCTTAGAGTCTCCCAAGATATATTTGACTAGATGTATCCAGGGGGGGGCACAATCAACAGCGAACACATAGATAAAGAGAAAATTGACCACTGCAGTATGGACGAACGAAGAATAATTACATTAATCAAAAAGGAATGTAACTAGTTTCCAGTCAACAAATAAAGTACAATCAATAAAATTTCGGATGCTCATGGGTATTATCCTCAGAATATGTAAGTCGATTGTAGTTTTCAGACCAGTGTGGAACATTATTCCTTTGAAATCATGTCCATTTAAAAAAAGATAGAATTTCGGGGACAAAATTTCTTAAGTGAAATGTCTTTTAATTTCCTTAGTTTATGTAAAAACTTATTTGAACTGATTTTCGAAGACAATTTTGAAGTTATTTTTCTATTATGCTATGTATACGCGGGATTGGTTTCGAATGTAATGAGTTACATTGTTTGATAATAATGAGCAATCCTTAATTCTTCATGCATATATTAGTGAATAGTCCCTGTTTGCTTTGAAGTTATGTATTGACTGAAGCTTATTCTCAGGTTTATTGTTCATACGACACTTAACAGTTAACTGTCAATATTTTTTTTTCTTAATTACTTTCATTCCTGTCAACATCAAATACTTAGTTTCATCGACTCAGTGCAAGTCACAAATTTTATCAACTAACTTCTCTTGGGTAAAACTTCAAACCTAACTTCGACACTTCTAATGTTGAGACTATACATCATGCGAATGACTAGGAGGTATAATGTATTAATTAATATGTTTGAATTAGTTTTTCTAGCTTTTTATTTCTCACTTTGATTTCACTTCCAGAGTATACTCCATCATTTCCGAACTTTCTCAATGCTCTCCTATTAAAATTATAGCACATTGGGATACTTTTAATTCTGCTACTGAAACGTCAGTCAGATTGTGTTTTTACTGTACAGATTATGATGCCTATCGTTCGTGGTTAGGTGTAACAATTACACCTAATGGTCTTGTGGTATTGTATGCAGACCCTCCTAGAACATATCGTTTAGGTATGGATCTAAGCAGACTCAAAGATGTTTTAAGCAATCAGGTATGTTTATTTAAAAAATTATAGTCCTTGTACAATAATTCTGTTATTGAGATTGTACTATTTGATTCTGTAGTTCATTTCAATCTTGCACTTACGTAATATGATAAACCATATTCAGGAATCATTATCTTATGTTTCTGATAAAAATGGTTCAATTACTAAGATACAGTGCCAATTGTTAATCATGAAAATAATGATGTATTTACAATATCCCAATGCGTAGAGAATGTTGAAGTTTCGTGACTAAGTGTAAACCAGTTCTCCAAAGAATAATTTTTTATGACATTTCCGAAATACAAAGTGCTATTACAAGACTAAATATATCCTGACTTCATTTAAGCTATTGGATGTAGTTGAAAGGTTCATGTATCTGGGTTAACTGAACAACGCTTTTGTGACCCTAGTTCTACTCTGTACGTGTAAAATTTGTCCTCTCCGAGCTTAGGATGATCTGCATACCTTCTGTATTCAGTCGTCATTATCTTCTATGGATTGTTAATATCCAGTATCAACACCATATTAGTAATGATTAGTTCCATTGGTGTGTATTTGAGCACAGCAATTACGACTCATTTTACGTCATCTTCAAACATCGGCTCTGGTGTTTCGGACATTTTTTATGAATGTCATCTCAGCGACTTCCACATAATTCTAGTATTTAGTTGAAAACACTAAGAAATGAGTTTATAGTATCGCTCTGTGGCTATAAAGACAACCGTATATATTCCTGTTTCTTATGGTGATATTGATGAGTATATGTATCAGTGTGCTCGGTTAACCCACTCTGTTACAAGCTACAAACTGATCAGAAGAAAGAGTGGAAATTAACCGAGAAAAATTAAAGATGAATGCATGAATATCGTCAACTATAAATTTTGAAATCTTGAATTATGTTCTTTTTTATAGACAATTAACCTTTAATTGTTTGTTATGCTTTGAAAACCTTATTCATCATAATGTAAAAAGGGTTTAGTGCCTACTTATAGCTAGCGAAATCGCCTACCAAATATCATGCTGTAGTTATCTTAACTCAGCACTTTTTTTCAAATTCACTATATAGTACTTACAAGTAAATGTCTTCTACTTAAACTTTTTTTCCACTGATTTTCAACTTCAGGTTTTGTATACACAAATGAATTATATAGATATATTGGCTATAAAAATTTTGGGTTGGGTTCGATTAGGGAATAATCCATTTTCAGCAGTAGCCAATCCTGAAGAGATCGGTGATGGTCCAGTGATAGTAAAAATGTTTGCATCTCCTTCTGCTAAATAGTAAGCTGATATTTCGTATACCAATCTTTTTTGTTTGTGTTTCATGAATATTACTGTTAATATCGTTTCCATACAATATACTTATTTATAATTATAATGTGAACTAGTCCAATCTTAATAGTAACGTGAGTGACCTGAAATTTATTGGTAAACGTACCGAAACTGATACTGAATATTAATGAATGTATTACACAGTTTATCTAAGGCCAGTAGGATGATATTTAGTTTATAAATTAATGTGAGTTTCTCTTTCTGTCTCTCCACACCTTTTTAGTTTAATTTGTTTACGTGCAAGTGCTGTGATGAATATCCGAATGTTTGTTTCTCGTTGTAGTCCATGCGACTACCAATTTACAACCGATCATAAAGATATATTTTCAAATCAAGACTTTCGTGAAGTATTTCTTTCTCATATGTATGGAAAAAGTTTGGTGTCCAAAGTTGAAGCACTTATGACTTTATTGTCTTAATGAAACTATTATAAAATATTTTGTTTTAATTGTGTAAATAAATATTACTTTATACATTCACTTTTCTGTTGTCAATGATACATCTCAAGAGGTATAACTGTTAGTCATTTATGGATTAAACTTACGAGTAGGTCATAACCAGTTCATTAAATCATTACTTGGTATACCTTCTTTACCGCTAGTAATAATAATAATAATAATTATTATTATTATCATTACTATATTTTTCTATTTATTTAAACACATAAACATTGGTAGAAGGTGGCATCATATATATATGCGCCACACAAATTGTTCGATTTTTATGAGGGCTGAAATACTGCTCGGGTTCCCAAACCGAAGCAGGTAGTTTTTTTACGGGGTCACTCCCCGAGCGTTTAACCTAGAGGTCTAATCCACATGGCGGTAGAATAACGTAAGGAGACGCAGTCTCATGATAGCCAGTTGCGAACGTCACTAGGTTCATTTGCCATCTATTCCCTCAGGATTTTGAAGCCCATATATACCATCAGTTTGGAATCAGGGTTTTCCAACTCCCCTAGATGGATCATCCATATTCGCCAACCGATTGACGAACCGGACATTTGTACTCTCAGTTTCGTAAATAACACCCACGCAATGAGTAGGTTTTCACTGAAAGTCACATGATAAATACCTCAATGGCCACAATTTACAAATTTCAATACGTGTATAAATAAGATAGTTTTGTTACGCAAATATGTAATCCATTTGTTCTCCACCGTTTTATTCTTGATCGGTAAAAGATATAAAAACACCTGGTACGTCAAGTCACAGTTGACAATTAGAAATATGTAAAAAATGTCTTCAGAAAACTATATACTAAACACTCATTCATATATACAAATTAAATTACTAATGAGTAACTACCGATGTTTCATATTTTCATTTCTTGCCACTTTCTACCGTCTAACTTTTTGAAGGATTTCTAACGTGATCACTTATGAGAATTGATACGAAAACTACTCGTATTTTGTTCAAATTTTCACGTTCTTCTCAGGGATTCTTTGAACTATCTTTGTGGTTATTCCACTTGTTGCTTCCATATGGGAGTAGGATAGTGTTTATTCCTGTTTCAGTTTGGGCACCTGGGCAGTATCACAGCCCTCACACAAATTAAATTTGTGTGGCACATATATATCTGGTGCCCCCTTGTACCAATATTTATCCGGCAACTCGAACTGATGCACGTACGTACGAAGTTCTACGTTGTAACTGACTGACTGACTGATTTATCCGTTTAAATAAATAAATAGCATTTATTATTCGATCGTAGAATATCCGTTGAGTCTTTAAAGAATTACTTTGTCATGTATTGTAAGTGATTAGCATGTTTCTAATGTTATATTTCCAGCTATCTACACTATTAATTTAACTTGGAAATGATCGCATGTTGTATTTCATCGTTGCAATTTTATTCATACAATCAATTTCTGTTCATTGGAAATATGCATCACTGACAATTATATGACCAATAAAGTATCAGTGCCAAGATTTAAGTTGATAGTTTCAAATAAATTGAACATTGGACAGAAAGTTAATAATAAATATATTTTTTTTGTTATATCCCATTGAGCGGAAAAATGGGGTCAATTTCACTCGCTTATTTATTTACTCTGGAGAAGTGGCTTACATTAATTCACAAAACGTCAGAAATACAGTTTTACTACTCATTGGGATATAACGGAAGAAATATTTTTATTATGACCCATAAGGGCCTCCAAATGCCCTGGTACGTCCGAGAGTGGGGGGAGTCCGCTCTCCCTATCCAAATGCTCTCACATGGTCACGTGTATATAGCCTTTGCCAGGGAAGTCCTACTCACTGCCTTCCCGTGGCACTTCTGTTGTTTACGAAATTGAGAGGACGAAAGGCGAATGTTCTGCACTTTAAACGGGTTAGTAGACACGGAAAGTCCACCTAGGGGAGTTGAAAAACCCTGATTCCAAACCAATATTGCACATGGGCTGCAGAATCCTGAGGGAAAAATGGCTTATGAATCAATCGTTGGTCACCGGCTACCATGGGACTTCATCTCCTCACGATCCTCCACTGCCTTGTAGGTTAGACCTTTAGATCAAAGGCTTGGAGTGTGGCCCTCTAAGAAAACCACCTGTTTCAGTTTGGGCACCTGGACAGTATCACAGCCCTCACACAAATCAAATGAGATTTGTGTGGCGCATATATATCTGGTGCTTTTTTGTACCAATATTTCTGCGTTTAAATAAATAAAAAGTGACCCATAAGATCCACATTTATTGAGAGCTAAAAATAATTAGGAGTCCTCCATCAACAGATTTTAATTACTGTGAAAATTTGACAGTTTTTGAAAATCTAATGTTTACACTTTGATTGGAATATTTTTTAACTAGTAAACGCAGTTGTCGCTGTGTGCATTTTCTGAAATACTAGGACGTGTTATATGCATTCATTTCATAACTTAGAGCTACCAATTGAGAACAGCTATATGATAATACAAGACAAACATTGATGGTTGTAAGGGATGTTCATTAAGAAAATGTCTCCAGGATGTACTAGTGTAAGTACTTATTACATGAAAGATTAGTGATCAATGTACATAGTTTTACATTCTTCTCATCCTTTATAATGTTGAGTATCGGAAGATGATATTGACTTGTCACTGGATTTCAGTGATACAGTGCCAATCAAGCCTATCCATTCTAGTTACGAAGTGGCGTCCAGATTGTATGAAATTTTTTATTTGAACTTGAATTATGAACTTTATTTAGATAACATGACCTATTCCTGTAAGCAATTAATAGTGTTACTATTGGCGTACGATGTCCTTATTAACAACCTACTTGAAATAATTTCGTACAATAATTAACTTAAACACTACGATTACGTCTACCTCCGGTGTAATGTTAATTAAGTCATGACGCATAGTATTGTTAAGTAAAGTTTATCCCTAGCATCCTTGTAATCTAGCCAAGCGATCAAACAGACAGGGCGGATGAATGTGTGAATGCATGTATGAATGAAATGAAAGTTAAGTGTACATGTGATCTGTTATATATGTATATACAAAGTGTCGTGAATTAAAAATCCACCTTGAATGTGACAAGTCTGTCAGACAAACGTACATAGACATTCATAAACGCATATGTGTACACAGATAAGAGTTTACAATTATTTATAAGATGGAGAACAAAGTAACCAATCAGACTATAATTATAAGCTTGACAACAAAACGCTTGTCTCATACCTTTTTGACAAAGCCCAAAAAGATAGGTATGTAGAATAACGGAAATAAGTGAAATGATCAACCTGTCCATAAATTGGAACAAAGTCCCCGCAAAACCATCTTAAATGACGATTCCGGTGACTAAACGTGATATGTGCTGACCATGTGTTCAACGACTGAGCTATTGCTGACTAGCATCAATCTTTAGATCGAGGTGCAGAGTAGTATTATGACATTTGTTTGAAGAGTATACTCGTTGTTCGACCAATAAAATTCACATGAACAAGTAAACAATTAGATTAGTATTGAGGTTTTTGAAGGCGGCTATTTGTCATTGACGTTTTTTCCTAATGAAGTACCTGTGATGAACAAAAAATCTCTTAGAGATCCTGACAGTTATTTCTTAAGATTTCTATTTGAAATATATGTTCACGAACAAAAACTTTGGTACTGTTAGAGTATTTTTGAGTTGCTATTTTAGTTTTAAACTAATTTAGATGTCTCTCGCTTAAAAATTCACTCTCAATAGTTGTTCATTGGATTTTATCCACCGTCGCAGATATTCAGTCAGGCTTCGAGGGAAGAAAATTGATTAGGCTCTAGTTGCCTAGTAACATTCAACTTCGGAAGTCTGTATACTGTTTGTTACACATTGGCTTTCTATATACTGAGTATTGTGGAGAGCTCTCTGATCATCGCTACAGAAAAACATTAAGAACATGAAATCCATATTTCACCTCCGATTTTATTGTGAAGGTAGTGGCAATTATTGAAATGATGTAGGGTGTTATTAACATCTCTGTTCTCGCCACATAATAGAGGTGTTGTCTATATAACACTTAATGAAATCCTTGTATTGTCGTTCCAATGTCTTTGTTCTCCAGAATGATCACGATACGGTGACCCAGCAGTGAGTCTATTTTATCCCCATCAATCTGCTCATATAAGTAATAGTTAAGTCTAAATTGAATGTTGAAGTTGCAACGTAGTAGTTTTTTAGGCAATGTTTTGCAATACCGATTTGGATTATGTTATTTTTAATATAAATACATAATAATCAAATTGTGTGTGAGAGGAACATTATAAAGAGAAAAGCAACATCTAATGATATCACTTTTCCTAATAAGTTGATTTCGAGTACTGAATAAGCAAAATCATAGGGATCAGAAACTCTGTTTCGACTTATCTAATATCTGATTAGTTTTAGAATTTCCACCAACCATATGAGAGTTTTATGATATGGATAGTTATTAACTTCAATTATAGGTTGAAGAGGAATATATATTATTAAACTTCAGGAAGTCATAAAACGGTCGGATATTTGAACCTGATAGCTTTAGATTTTTTAAATAGATCACTGATAATGGTTGGTTAATTTATTCAGCTTGGGTTTATATACCTCTGTCAGTGTAAAAAGTGATTCAATAATCTAATCCAACAACATACGTTGAAGTATACTCTCATTTTATCCGTTTTTCCTCAAATAAATTCTTGAATTAATGGGTGTTATTACTGTGACCTAATACTGAAGTAGGATTAATTGAAAGGTAGCTTCATCGTAATGTTATTTTATTATTATTAAAACAATTGCATTAGTTAAACAATGAATATATGTAATTTGCATTGTTTAATTTTTTATGTACATAAATAGATAAATAAATAGTGGTAGTAGTAGTAGTTATTTACGCACGCTAATAAAGTAAACATGTATTCTTGTGGATTAACTTAATCTTTAAAATACTCACCTCTAATTATTATTCACGTGTCATTTATTTTATTATAACTCTGTAAAAAAACAAAATACAATAAACAATTGCTTATGGATATATA